ATTTAGTGTGGAATATAATGTAATTGATTGTATATATGTTGACATGTCATTGATTGATGATAAATAGTATAAAATGGGTGAGAATACGTGTGGATGACATATGATGGGAGTGTAATTGTGATTTTGTTTGAAATATTGAAAACTATGGAAGATGAGGCGGTAGGAATATCTTGAGAAAGAGAAGGTGGTGGTGACACCAACAGTGGGTGTGGATGTACCACAAACCACACACTCTCCTCTTGACTCGGCCTCTGGCTAACACCTTTAAGTCCCTGGTTAAGGGCATCAAGAATCTGTGATCACAGTACTATAGTGAGTGTGGCTAAGGTGCAGTGAGCGCACGTGTGTGTATGTGTGTGGAATGTTTGGAATATTTGAAAAACATGAATATGTGTTGTTTGATGCATGATTTGATTTATGTTAGAAACATGCAGAATGTGCAAGGTGAGTCTCTATGCTTGTATGTGTATGAGATAGTGTTGAGTACTCAGCCTTACATTTATTTTTTTCAAGTGACCAAGACGATCAGCACCAAGCTTAGTAAAAGGGATGGATAAAACCGCTATAGGACTTAGAAAAATGTATTTTGAAAACTTTGATGTAGTGATAGTCCTGTAGCAATAATTTGATTCAAAATTTGTAATCCATAATTTATTAAAACTATGTATTAGAAACAATTTGAATGAAATTTTATTATTCCCACTTATTGCAAAATTTATTTATTTAAAAAATTAAATTAAGGTGTTACAGTATCATCCAATATTCACAGTATGTCTATTATTTCAAAAATATCAAATAGCAATTTTAACCACCTCTGAACAATATTTACTAGAAAAATCATCATATTTATCAAAATGGTTCTATTCAAAGCTTTTTCTACATGTTGTATTTAACTAGTCCTAAAAATAATCATGAATTTTTCATGTCAAAAATCTCTATTCCTACCCTTGAGATTTTAAGAAAACATTTGTATTCTAAGGTCCTTATTAGAAAAATTTAGTATTTTCAAATCAAGATACCAAAAAGGAGTTAGGATTTGAGATCAACTCTCTTTACTTGAAATAGGTCTCTTAGGCCGAGTTTTCCTAGAGATCCAAAGGAGATGTATAACGATCTTGATGGGGGATAACATACGAAATATTAAGTTTTCCTAAGTATTTCGAAGTAGACATCTTATTATAAAGAGAAAATCGAAGAAAGGAATGAAATTAGGATCTGAACTTTGAAAAACTTACTTGAATTCAAATGGAATAAAGGTTTGAGCTCGGATCTGAAAGAGATTTAGGGTTCGGAAGAGTTTTCTCTGAGAAGAAAAGGTGAGAGAATAAAGAGAAACGAGGAGCAAAGGCTGTCTGAGGAGAAAAATGAAAGTTCCAATGCTGAGGTCCCTTAAATACCCCTCCAGATCCTCGCATTATCACTTGAGTGAGCCCTACTCTCGCCTACGCGAGACCTTCTTCGCCAAAGCAAGAACATCCTCACCTAAGTGAGAGACAATCTTGCCTGAGTGAGCTCCATCTTACCTGAGCGAGAATGGGTCTAGAATTTCCTATTTTTCTTGTGACTCCTCGCCTGGGCGAGTTTCGTCTCGCTTGGATGAGCTGTTTCTCACCTGGGTGAGAGGACAATTGGAGTAACTTTATCCTATTTTGCTGGAGCGAGATTTATCTCACTGGAGCAAGAATGCTCCATAACGCTTTCTCTTAGAAAACTCTATCTCACTTGAGCGAGAAATCCTACACCAAAATTCTTATTTTTTCCATACAAGGACAACAAAATTGAGAGTGTTATATGTTGCTCTTCCACTGAAGTGATGGTGTTTCTACACCTCATAAGGGTACTCCTCACTTTGGACCTTGGTTTTTGTTACTCCTAGAGAAATTATTTGTCTGCAATGGAGAAAGACCCTTCTCTTCATTCTCACAAAACCCTAACACAATGCTTATTTTGATTATCAAACAATAGGTTTTTAATCTTATATTCTATTTGAAGTGAACTAGATGTGACAAGATGTGATATAAATTATATATAAATGATAAAATTACTATTTAACACAATTATATTAAAAATTTTATTTAAAATAAACTTAAAATATATTATTTTACTATTTATGTATTAGGATTTTTTATTTATAATAAACTTAAATTTAAGCTTGAAAATAATTTAAAAAATAAATTTTAAGCAAAAATTAAAAATCTTAATGTATAAAAAATTTAAATTTTTTAAAGCTACATTTAAATTTTTTAAAAATATGTTATTAATTTAAGTTAGACATAATATAACAAAAAAAATTATCCTATTTTAAAACCACACATAAGATTATTTAAAATTAGGCTTGAAAATAATTTAAAAAGTAACTTTTATAATAAAATTGAAAAAAATTACCAAAAAATTTAAATTAATTTTTGAGATATATTTAAAACTATTAATTTACGTGCTTGATTTAAGTTAGACATAATATAACAAAAATGTATTTTATTTTCAAAATAAACTATAGATAAAATAAAAGTATGAAAATTATATTGTAGAATATGACACTTAGATTTTTCTTATTCTATTGTCCAATAATAAAAGGAGAAAATAGAAACTAATAATTGTTAAATGGATAAATAAATTCGTTGATCTTTTGAAGTTCTTGTTACAAACAAGTTTCAAGAAATTACTCAAAAGATTAAGCAATACAAGTAATGTTTATCAAGCATAACTAATCATGTAATTAGAGAAACAATAGATGCTAGGTACTTAATGCAAAATCGGTAATCTACATAGAATTTATTATATTAACGACTTCACAAATGCTAAACTATCAATATGATGACAGTCATAAAATATATGTAATTGATGGGACATGAATAAAATTTTATATGTTATGGTAAAATGTTTGTGTTCTATTAAATTTATTTTCTTTAACTTTGTCATGATGTTCCTAGAACCGTCAAATACATCTTTACTAACTTTATGGCAATTAACAATTTTCCTTTGATTGTTTTGTGTTGTCTTCTATTCTTAATTGAGATATGTTATTAGTAATTAAGTTTCTCTTCTATTCCTTTTCTTCAATTGGATTTTCACATTGTTAATTTTTCTTGTACATGATGATTGAGTGACAAATCTTGATGGAGTTCCATCTCTAATAACATTGTCATTATTTTATTTATTTTTCTTTATTTATTTCTTCAACAACATCAAGATGGTACAATCTTTTCCAAAAGCAAGAGCAAGCTTATCAAGTAGTGGAATTGGTGATTCCTATAATTCTTTTCATTTAGGTGACTTGAAAAAAATTCAAATTAAAAAGTTTTCTTAACTATAAAATGAATAATGAATGAAACAAAAATATTAAAAAAAACATTTAACCTTTAGGAAGTCGGATTATACATCTTAATTCTCCATGTCAATTATTTTTATTTATCATCCCAATCAAATTTACTTTGATTTAGCATATCATAAATTATTCCATAAATTATCCTTAACCTCTTCGTTGCAAACTTAATATGTGGCTTCATTTTAATTTCACATCTAGATAACTTTTATTCTAATTTTGTCTTAGTTGTTCTTAAGGTATATGTTTTACATTGTCTAATGTCACATCTTTGACCTTTATTTAAAGCTTCAATCAAAATATAAAAAAAAAATTATCATCTTCGTTAAAATATCTCTCTCTCTTCTTTTTTTTACCTTTATTTAAAGCTTCAATCAAAATATAAAAATAATTTTATCATCTTCGTTAAAATATCTTTTTTTTTTACTATCTTATTGCATACTATCCTTAAATTCCATTCATATCTCATTACCAAATTATAGATCACAAAACTTTAATCAATGGTGTTATTTGTCAAAGTAATAGTTCAAATTATAAAATGCAGTGTAATAATTTCAAACATACATAAATGTTCCAAAATTTTTAAGCAATACATATATCAAACAACCATACATATATCATATATTGAAAAATTCATGGCATTGGGAATATATGATGCAACTTTTAATAAAATTTTGTATCAAGAAAGCATAAATGTGTTGTTCTACCACCTTATTCTCTATGTAAATTTTTTGGTTGTGTTAGTAGGCTACTCATGATGTGGGATGATCTCCTAAAATTTAATAGACCATTTTGAAATACATATAGGTTCACAAACTAGTAAAAAAATAAAAATATTGTTAACCTAATCAATAAAAAGAAAAGAAAAAAGAAGATAACAAATGAAAGAGGAATGTTGGAGAATGTAAAGAGTAGTGAAATTAATTAAAATGTAATCTATTATTTATGGTCTTTGATTTTAAGTTAGTTATGTAGTAAAATTAACAAACAATTACATAAAATGTTAGAAATATTTGGTCTAATATGCGATAGATGTTAGCCTCAAGGTTCTAAGTATAGTGTGAGACAATTTCCTAAAATTTAAAATAACTTTTGAAATAAGCTTGGGTTCATAAATTCATATAAAAGTAAGAATATTGTTAACCTAATCATAAAAAAAAAAGAGAAAAAAAAAGAAGATAATAAAAGAGAAAAAGACGTTAAGAGATGTAAAACAATATTGGAGCTAATTTAATTATAATATATTAATTATGGTACTAAGTTTTCATGTAATAATATTGTGAAATTAACTTATAATAATTGTTCTAATACGTGTAAGACTTTGTCTTTAAAATTTTATTTGTAGTGCAAAATACTTTTTTAAGATTTAACATACACTTTTAAGATAAATCTGGGTTCATTAATTAATAAAAAAAATAAAAATAGTATTAACTTAATTATCAAAAAAAAAAAAAGAAGATAATGGAAAAGAGCGGGAGAGGGAGAGAGAGAGAGAGAGAAGCATGTATTTTTGTTGACTTTTACATTTTTTCATTAAAAAAATTTTGTAACAAAAACTTGACAACAGGCCGAACAAAAGCTGAAAAAAAACAAAACTAACCCAATGGCATAGAGGCCCAACAGAGGGGGGATAATATTATCGTTACCATAACTGAAACATGTGGCAGTGGATAACTACCTCAACCACACACAAACCTCTGTTTCTCAAAAAAACACTCATCACTTACACATACCATAGCCATGACAACTCTGAGCTTCAACCCTGCAAGAATCAGAACCCCAACATTCAAACACTCCAAACTCTCCTCTTCATCTAAACCCATCACAATTTCATGCACCATTTCCTCCAACAACCTACGAAACCACCCAAAACTGCTTCGCTTTCGAACCAATTCGGTGTCTGAAAGCTCGTTGTCGATCCAGAAAGAAGCACCTGAAGAGGTTGTCGAAGACGAAGAAGACGACCCAACTGCCGAACTATGCTATGTTGACCCAGCAATCGACCCTGAAAGCATCACAGAGTGGGAACTTGACTTCTGTTCAAGACCCATTCTCGATGACAGAGGGAAGAAGATTTGGGAACTTGTTGTCTGTGACAAAACGCTGTCGTTGCAGTATACTAAGTATTTTCCAAATAATGTCATTAATAGCATTACTCTGAAGGAAGCTATTGCTGGTATTAGTAATGACTTGGGTGTCCCATTGCCTCAAAACATTCGCTTCTTTAGGTAATTTAACTAAAGACTTAAACATGGTTTTAGTGTTTAAAAATATAATTGTATTTTATTTGTAGTTTTTTCTTATAAATTTTAAAAAATTACCCCTTATTATCATAATCATATCACATGAGTGACTATTTTGGAGTGGCAAGTGACATAACATGTTGGATATATGTCACATTTTTAATAAATGATGGCAGAAACAATTTTAAAAATTATAATTTATGAAAATTAAAAATTAAAAAAAGAATTAGGGGATTAATACTAAATTTAGTCATACTGAAAACATATTTTAACCTTGACAAAATATCTTGGTTTACTGGCATGCGTGAGTGTGGTATTATTAATAACACATTTGAGTAAGAAATATTGATTAAGTGTTTTGTTGCTTTGTAGGTCACAGATGAAGACAATTATTACAAAAGCTTGTAATGAGCTTCGCATAGCGCCTGTTCCTAGTAAACGGGTGAGTATGGTTAATTGTCCATTTTTTGTTTGGTACTGTGGTTTTGAAATTTCATTGTTTAGGAGAGAACTATAGGCTTCCCTGCTGGTAGAATTTAGGTAGTTTGATGAATGAAGATTGAGAGTGTATGAGACATTATTCAGCTATAAACCAACTGGTGAATTGTGATCTTATAATGTGATGTGACTGACAAAGCTTGATTCGAAAAGCTTAACTTGTTGGTGAAGTTGCCGATAATAGGTTTCATATAATGGAATTAGAATGTGTCTGTGTACTCTAATCAACTTATGAAGGGATGAAGTAGTTAGTGTTGGCTTTATGTTTGGATATGGTGACTGGAATCGAATGGAGAAGAATGGAGTGGAATAAGTTACCATTTTATTATTTGGATATTTTTATGATGGAATGTGAAAAAAGAGTGGTTCCATCTCATATCTCAAATTGGAATTGGAATATCATTCCATTAATTTCTATGAAAAGAGTGGTTCCATCCTATTTTAAACAATCCAAATAATGGACACTAATATCATTCCATCCATTTCTATGTATCCAAAATAAGCGCACATAAAAACTTTTCTTGTTTCTTTTTCCATCTTAAATTGTGGCATATTTTATTGTTGATTATGGGACATGCGCCGCAGCATATGTTATTGACAAAAATGAAAGATTGAGACTTGAGAATCTTCTGGAGTGCATGAGATTTCCATTCATGTGATGACTCTATTGCCAGGGAATCTTAGATTTGTAATGACTCAATGAGTTCATACATCCTAGTAAGAAGTGCCAGTGCATATATTTTATGAGGTCCGTCTGATCCTTTTCAGTGCGTGACATTAATTCTGTGGCTAGGGGAGCGCTATGAGACCGTTTATCGGAAGCATCCTGGATTTCAAGAAGGATCCAAACCTCTTTTGGCAGTAGATAATCCTTTTCCAACAGAACTTCCAGATGATCTTTATGGAGAAAAGTGGGCATTTGTCCAATTACCTTACTCAGGTATAGACACAGAAGCTTTGGTGTAATTTGTTTTACAATTGCTTGAATAAAATGATATCCTTCTCATGGTCTCAGACACATGGTTTTCTTACTTTGTTGATGCTAGTTTAAATTTTAGATACTAGCTTACATAAAATATAATGATCTCATTCTTATCATTTTTAGGACAAGATGATTAACATGTATGTTTACTACTTTAAGTTGTTCTCCTAGGATAGATACCTCTCTAACTTTCAGTAACTTATTTTGAAGCTGTTCGAGAGGAGGTGTCATCCTTCAAGGCAGGATTTCGTGGTGCTGGGTTAGATCTTGATTTATTGGGTCTTGAAATTGATGACAAGACATTGATCCCAGGATTGGCTGTTGCTTCTTCTCGTGCTACGGAATTGGCAGGTACAGAAGTGCAGATTTTCATATCTTCTTCATATATATTAATTTTATGTCCCTCTCAACACACTCTTTCTATTATTTCATTAAGAATTACCTAAGTTTAAAGTGAGTTTTATGCATGGAATCTATTATTTAAAGAGGTAGTGACTATCTGTCCAATCTGATATCAAGCAATTTGATATGTTACTGGAATATGTTGCCCTACAGCATTAAGATTTCCTCTACTTGAATAACAATGCATAGATAGGTCCATCTCAAAGCCATACTACAAGGTTGTTGAATTATTACCTGTCTTGAGCTAAGACAGTGTGAAGCACAGAACTGCAATTGCTGCTGTTCTTGTCATACACTTTAACGCACTAGAGTGCATTCAGTTTTACAAATTTTATCTGAACAATTTGCTTGGTAAGCAAAACTCTGGCCCTAGTATATATACACAGTAATATATATATATATATATATATATACACAAAAAATCTGGATTGGTGTCACGGTCCTGAGATTGGTGAATAAGTAAGACTAAAGTATTATTTGGATTGGCACAGCTTTTTTGGACTTCTTTTTTGAATCTCCTCTAAGGCTTTGTTTGAGAGTTTGGAGGGGAGGGAGGGGAATGGTTTAAAGGGGGAAGAAGGGGAAGGAAAGGGAGGGGGAAGGAGAAGGATGTTAAACTCCTCCCTTGTTTGGATGTTTAATATTGAGAGGGGAGGGTGATGGGGGTTTAATTATATAAATGATATTATATTATTATGGGGAATGCACCTTGGCTGTTAACTTCTACTTAATATCTTAAATATTAATGAATATAAGAATGGTGTGAACTTGGTTCACCAAACATTTTTTATGCTGCAAAGCTTTTGTATACTTGATGCGCCATATCATCACTAACATGCCTTGTATAATTGTAAATTTCTTTTATCCAAGAAACTTGTGTTCTAAATTCTCCTTGTAATTTAGTAAACCTCCACTTACCTTTTGTTGTCACAGCTTTGATAAATGAAGTGGAGGCTTGTGCTGTGGAAGCAGATGCTGCTCGTGGTCGATTGATTCTTTCTGTTGGAATTTCTACTCGGTATGTATATTCCACCTATAAGAAAACACCTGTGACAACAAGTGAAAGTGAAGGATGGGAAGCAGCTAAGGAAGCTTGTGGAGGTTTGCATTTCCTTGCCATCCAAAAAAACTTAGATTCTGAAGATTGTGCTGGCTTCTTTCTTTTACTAGACTTGCCATTTCCACCTGTATAATCATACAAATGATTATGGTTCAATATTCACTGAACAAAAAAAAATATATTATATTAGAATTATTAGATTCATGAAGTTTTTCTTTGACCCCAAAATCAATTGCTACCTAAAGTGACCAAGTAATTTTTTGCAGCATTACCATTCTCAACGTACTAGATCTAGATTTTAGCATTCCTTTTAATGATCTAAGCTAGGAGAGTATTGAACTATAGTCTAAAAAGAAAAATTAAGGTATAAAGGTCAACATGCTATTGATTCTTTTGCATTTTTATTGGCTGAGTGGAAATGTCTGGTGGACAGCCAAAACAATTTCAGGTTGGAGAGAGCGGTATCAAGAAAAATATACAAGGAAGGGAACAAAATGAATAAACTTTACATAATTATATTAGTAAATTACAATATTACATATTTATTTAAACAAAAAAATTAATCTATATATATATATAGCATTTTAAGAAATTCTGGGAGAGGATTTAAACGTTTTGTTACATCTCAAAAACTTCTTTAAAAACTACATTTTGATTTAAGACAAATTATCATCTTGATCTAAAATCAATGTTTTCAACGATTGTTTTTTTTCATGGCTGAATGTAATTGGACAGATATATGCAAATCCTCGTTGTGAAAAAATGTATTACAAATAGTATATGCATATACATAGTATTGAACTAATCATAATGCGGTTCATATTTAAATTAGAATAATTTATTATATATTATAAATTATATATATTTGATAATTAAGCCAATAATCATTGAATTCTCGTTAATTTCCCATAAAATATATATTTGTATTTCATATCCATTGTCAAATAAATATATAACAAACTTAGTAAAATTTAAATAAGATTTAACAATATTTTGCCATTTTCTTATATTTAAAAAAAAACTTTTTTGAATATCATACATAAAATTGGAATGACTTCTCATTTTTATCTAAATTTAATATTTTTAAGTTTTCTTTCTCACTTACTCTTGAAAAAACAACATATAATTAATCATGAGAGAGTTTTGACCTTGCTATGTAAAGACAATCTTAAAAAATGTTTATTCTTAACTTTTATTGATAGTCGTTGCAACATAAAAAGTTAAAAGAAATTGTTTTTTTTTAATTAAAAGGCAATTCCAAATTTGAAGAAACTTAATTATTTTTAGAATAAAATATTTTTTAAGTAATATTTTTTCTTGTTTCAATAACTATAATTATATTTCTTTCTAATTTATTAACAATCAATGTAATTTCATTATATAATTTATTTGTTTAATCTATATTTCTCAAAAACATGATAAGAATATTTATCTTAAAAAATAATCTATGGTTTAAAATTTTTGAACACTTAATTTTATTAAAAAATTTAATTGTAAACTAATCATTTGATTTGACATTTTTATTAGATAAACAAGTTGAATAAGAATTTAAGTATTATTTTATTTTAAAGACATTAAAGATAAAATAAATTTATTTACTTTCTTAACACATTTTCATTAAATAAACAAGTTGAATAAGAATTTAGATATTATTTTTCTTTTAAAGATATAAAGATAAAATAAATTCATTTCTTCCTTAGCATTTTTTAAAGTAAGCATTAATGTTGCCATCTTTTACTAAAAGAAAAAATAAAATAAATATAAATTTTCACTAAATTTAAATATGCAAAGTCAATTAAAAGCTTCTAAACTATTATCTGTTTCAAAAACAAAGAACTCATTTGAATTTTAATTTCTCCATCCCAAGTTATAGAATTTAATATGCAACAAACTTTATTTCATTTATATTATTAGCATTGACGTTAACAATCTCATATTTTTTTTTTTTAGTTTTAGATTCATGCGAAAATAAATAAATAATCACGATTAACTATGTTATTTCTCAAAATATAGTCCTGTATTGGGTAATCTACGAAACACTGTGTATTAAATTTGAGTTTATAACGAGAATATCTTCCTTATTATGTCATATCCTTTCTCTTATATTAAATATTTAGTTTTTTAAAATTTTTATTCTTTTCAAATTCTAATTCTTTGTTTTAATTTTAATTTGATTTAAAATTTAAATCTTGATCAACTGAATTTTCAGATTATGATATATATTTTAGACAAACTAAATTTCTTGTATAATAATATTTTAATTTAATTTTCAAATTTTTAATTTAATCTTAATTTAAACTTTAAACTATTATATTCTTCCTTAATTTTAAAATATTCTTTAATTTAATCATATTTAACATAATTTAATATTATTATTAATGATGAAAAACAATGTACTCTTTTCAGTTTATAAAATTTAAAAATAGTCATACAATATATATTTTTATTTAAAAACATTTGAATTTAATAATACCTTCATGGTGCATAAAATTACTCAAAAATGTATATAATTTTTTAAGGGAAAATAATAATAGTTTTCCAATTTAAATATACAATTGAAAATTAAAATATTTGAATGGTCAAATTTTAATGATTAAAAACATATTTCAATTATAAGTGATATAAATAGAATAAATACATAGATTTTTTATTTTTTAATTAACTAAAGTATCTTTTCATGTGATTCCTTTTTAAAGAGATAGGAAATTAAATTTACATGAATATAGTAAGTTTTGTTTGGGCTAATTTTTTCTTTTTCTTTTTTCTCTCCTAGTATAAAAATGAAGTGAACTATAAGTATACTAATAACTAAGTTAAAGAATTAAAGTATTCATTTTATTTTATAGTTGAATTTTAAAATTTTGAAACTATATGAATTATAGTAGCTAATTCATACTAAATAATTGAATTCAAATATAAAATATATTTGCATTTCAAAGTTCTATTAAATTCTAGTAGTGTAACGTATTCTATGAATAATATAAAAATAAAAAATACTCTTTCAATCAAATAAATATTTGAACAATTCTCATATTCATATTTTCAAAATTATTAAAAATTAAAAAATATAAAATAAAAAGAAATTGCCCACATTGAACTTAAAAAAAATTGTTTACTTTAGTAACTTGTCCAAGGATTAATATAAAAATAATAAATAAATTATTTATTACACATGGGAGAAAAATTTACAATAGCAGCTGTGGAAAACTGCGAAGGTAAGAGGCTGAAAGAAAATATGAATGTCATGTTGCTGCAAAAGTATAATGGTGACAAAAAATATAGTGTGCAATTCACTTATCACTATATTCATCATTTCCTTATTGCAGGTAGTAGTTTGGAGCTACATCTAGTGCAGACCTTACGCAAGATTTGGGCCGAGGAAGGTAGTAGTATTCTTTTGGCGTCTATTGCTTAATGTAGCTCCGGTGCAGAAAAACTTGACCAATCGTAGATTGATCATTCCCTCAGAAGCTTGTGAGTTGTGTGATACTGAAGATAAGGACATATTGCATTTTTTTTCTGCATTGGTGTCTTCCTAAAACTGTGGTACATGGTATTTGAATGATTTCACTACTACAAAATCTGCACATATAGACGGATTTTAAAATCCGTCTATGATATATTTTACTATTTTTGTTATTTTTTGTTTATATACATGATTATTCTTGCCTGTTCTTGATTATCACAATTTATAAACATAAGAAAAACTACAAAATTAAATTTAAAAATTCAAAAATGATTTATAAAATGTAAAATTTAAATGTCATTACAAATGAAGACAAAAACATCCAAATAAATAATGTTAAAAATAAAATACAAGTGTTCATCACGAATAATCTGTATGATCATCATCTGAAGGAGTATCATCATCAGTAGACAAGAAGTCGGAAGAGGAATGATGCATGGAGCTGAAAACTGGTGGTGCTGGAGCTGGTGGAGGAGGAGGAAGAGGTGTGGAGGTACTTGCTCTCATGAGCTCAAAATATGCATGCATTTGTTGCATCTGCATATGTTGTTGCTCCATCTGCTGCTGGACTTCCCTTTGCATCATCAATGTCACCTTCTACTCTATCTTCTTCTCCATTTTCTTTGCTCACTTCTTCTTCCATGCACTTTCTTTGCTCTTCCACATCTCCTCATTCTACTTCTGGAGTTCTTCATTGAGGGCATGGACTTGAGTGCAGACCATGTCCTCCACTTCCTCAGGTGCAAGAGAATGAGCATTTCCAGTGACAGATGCAGAGAACATGGAGTCTGCAAAGCGACCCCCCATGCCATAAATCTGACCTTTATAAAGGTTACCCACTGTCTGTGACCACATAGCATCCTCATCAACTGACTCTGGATCCTGAGAAGATGTCTCCTCAAGCCTTTGAACATAGTCATCCTACAGTTCAGTTTAGATAATTAGATATTAGTTTGGAGAATTATTTAATAAATTACTAATAATAACATATAGTATCAATAAGAATGACTTACATATGTGGCTTGAGATTATGTATCAACTCATAGGTTTTTGCCTCCCCTACGAGTGTGTGTCTCCTTGAACAACTCTCCATGCGTAGGTGGCCTCTTCAACGACTTCTCCTGCAATTCTAATTAAATCACAATCTCAAATATGAAATTATAGATAGAGTAAAATGAATTTTAAAATTATATACCAAGTTTGTCGTAGTGTGAGCCAAAGTTATAGAGTCACCAGTATGCAGTGATCCCCCCTTATTAGATGCCTTATTTGTCTTGTTCTTTATATGTACCCCAATACTCCTGCAAGGTATGAAGAAAGTTGGGTGCTATCCAATTAGTAGTATAAAGGTCCTGACGAGCCTATGTATACATTTGTCTTAGTCACTTTCCAGTACGACTTTTCTAGGCCTTGAAAATCATCTTTTCATCTTGGGGGGAATGGAGAAGTTGCTCTACATAAACACAATTTCATTAGAAGAGGTACAAACAGTCATATGTAATTATACTTAGTTAAAATTAATACACTATTATTACCTTCCAATCTTTGAACCATTCCATCTTTGTATCCTTCGACACCTTTGCAAAACTTGTGTAAGGCACATCAAACATCTTCTTAATGGTATTTGTGACCTGGTGGAGACCTTTCTGTGGTGGTATCCAACTGATAACACGATAAAATAAAATAATTATTATAACATTCACATAAAGTACACAATGTTAGACATACTTTAAAGGAAACTTACCAAGTGGCCTATCACATCTCAAAGTTTCTAACAATCTCGATGATGCCTGGGTTTGTGATGATTGTTGCCCACTTATAGCTGAGACAGTAGTGAATCCCTCTCCTATACCTTGTGTAGAAGGTGACTGTGTGGCCTGTGTAGTAGGCGGTGCAGAGTGTGAAACTCGTTGTATTGGAGGGAGAAGAGCAATATACCCAGGATTAGACACCATGATAAATTGCTCCTGCTCCCTAACCTAGAAAGTCTGCACTATAGCTAGTGTAGAAGTCAAAGCGGGAGCGGTGGATGAAGGAGTGTTACCACGATCAGGATGCTGAGTAACACCCTTCTTACCTTTACCTGCCATATCTGAATCAAATACAATATATGTTTAGAGACGAATACCATAATCTTTATAAATTATGGTTAATATTGGTGATAACTCAAAATAAATAATCATAGAAACATAGTAAATTGACAAACCTACTTAATTTACCTCATTTACTCTTATAGTTCAAGACTACCTTCATCATCACTTGATGAAATGTCATCCATAAATCCTTCCTCCTCATCTTTAGTCATGTCATCCATTTCATTATTTCTTAAAGCTTGGGGAGGAGGGTCAATTATTTCAATTTCATTCAAAGGAGAAGATAAAATTGGAGGGACAATAGTGTTTATTACTACATGTAAAAGGATTGAGTCATCAATTTGATATGCATCTTCATCACTTTTAATTCGACCCCTTGGTTTAATTTTTATTACAATCCTCCAACTTTTATTACATTTTGTAGGGTAAGATAAGAAATATACTTGTCTTGCATTTTGTGCAATGATGAAGGGGTCAAAGCCTCTATATCTTTTGATATCGTAAATCTCAATTACATTGTAATAGTTATGTTTACGTGTCCTTGTTGGGCGTATTGGATCAAATCATTCACACTTGAATAAGACAATTCTTTTTATGGTTTCACCATCATATTCAAGTTCAACTATTTCATTAAGTTTTCCATACCAATCACAGTCACCATCACTTGAATTTCCTCTCACACTAACCTTACTATTATCTGTTTTTCTCCCTTTACATGATTCAATGGTTTGGAATTTATATCTGTTAACATAGTAAATTGGCCAACAATATGCTTTATTTTTTGGACCTCTGGACAGGTTTTATAGGTCAATATCTGTGATATCATTACTAGGATCACACACCTACACATACCATTAAATATGTCAATTGATTGAATAATATTAATATTAAAAAGTTGATAAACTAAAATGTTCGGAAAATTCCATGACGTACATCACTTTTGAACCATGATAGAAAATGATTAATGCATTCGTCACCATATAATTATTCAAAATATCTGTAAACATTGCAACATCATTAATTAGATTTGAATAACCATGATTGGGAAAAGTCATTAAAGTAATCATAAGTCACTTACATTCTAAATGGTTGAACTTCATCACAATTTAATAAGATGTACAAATGTGCAGCATCTGATTCATCACCGAAGATCCATCGTTCTTCGTATTTCCTATATACACGACCTAGTTGGTTGAATATAGATAAAGTTGGATCATTACTGCTTTCTCCCCAACATCATTTCGACCAACCCAAGTCCTCCTTGATTGAACATGAGGTTTAAAATAATATGTCCAAAAATTTGATGTCTCCTTTGATATATATGCCTGACATATGGATCCTTTCATTTAAGCTCTATTTTTCACAGTCCTTTTGAACTCTCTGATTTCTCGTTCAAACGGATACATCCACCTATATTGTACTGGTCCACATACATGTGCTTCATACACTAAGTGTATAGGCAAGTGCTCTATGGAGTCAAAGAAATCAGGGGAAAGTATTCTCTCTAATTTGCACAAAATCACAGGAATATTATTCTCCATCACTAATAGGTCTTCAACCCTAAGAGTATGTGAACACAGGTCCCTAAAGTACTCACTTAACTAAGTCAATGGCTTCCAAACATGGTCAGGTAGTTCCCTAAATGCAGCAGGTAGAAGACACTCCATGAATATGTGGCAATCATGACTTTTCATCCTAAAAAATATTCCTTGTTCAACATTCACACAACGACCGCGGTTTGAAGCATAATTTTCAGGTATTTTCAAGTCCTTCACCCACTTACACATCTTGTCTTTGTGATAAAGTCAGAGTGTAACTTGTTTTTGCCTTTGACCATCGACCATCTGCAAGTTGTTGTAACCTCAACTCTGGATGCCTACAATATTCTTCTAAATCTTGCCTTGCCTTTACATTATCTTTAGTTCGATCAGTGTCCATTACAGTATTCATGATATTGTCAAATACATTTTTTTTTCCATATGCATCACATCTAAACAATGGCGAACTAAGTTATCCTTTCAATATGGGAGCTTCTAGAATCTACTTTGTTTGGTCCAATTATGTGTTATCCCATACCCAGGAAACCTAATGGATTTTCCTACTTCTATTATTTTTGGCAAGTGTCTAACTCTATCCCATATTTGATCACCATTTAAACAGACGGGAGGGTCCTCATTCTCAATAGTTACTTTTCTAAATTTGTAGGCTTAGCGCTTATAAGGATTTTACATATCTAAAAATCTCCTATGGCAATCAAACTATGAATTTTTTCCTCCATGTTTCAAAGTAAATGCCTTTGTATCCTCCATACAAATTGGGTGTAATACCCTGAATTTTTGTAATATTAATTATTGTATTTATATAAATCTAAATGCATATATGTGTGTGTTGACTTACTTGATAATGATGTTTATGTGTATTAAGTGTATGGATGTGTGTATGCATGACTAGATAAGGCTGAAATGGGCTAAGTGCCTAAGTACAAGGTGTAATATTAGGCTGTTCTCGCTGCAGTGAGAGGATTCTCGCTGTAGCGAGAGGGCCTGCGAGGAAGAACCAGAACTGTCGCCTTCTCGTTGTAGCAAGAGACGTTTCGCTTTAGCGATAGAGTGATAGTTTGGGGTGCATTTCTAGGTGCAGTCTCGCTGTAGTGAGATTCTATAGAAACCAGGGTGCAGTTTCGTCTGATATTTTTGCTGTAGCGTGAGGGCGTGTCGCTGCAACTCGCTGTAGCGAGAGTGTCGCGACCAAAAAAAGATGTAAAGGGGGTTAGGGTTCGGGGAGATTTATTTCTCCATCTCCCTTCAAAATTCCTTTGATCCTCTCGTTTCCAAAGCCCTATTCCACCGATTAATTGCCTCCAAAGCCGTTCGGGAGCTTGATTGAAGGTTGAATCCGTGTGGGAAACACTTGGATGTGAGTTTTAATGGTTAGGGTTCTGTTTCTCATCCCCATTTCTCTGTTTCCCGGTTTCTTGGAGTTTTCATGGAGTTCTTCCATGTGTTTTAGGCTAAAATCTGTATAGGGAGCACGTCCGTTGTCAAATCCGATTGTGTGTCTTCAATCCGAGGTAAGGCAGACTCTATCCTACTCTTTTGTGCATGAATTGTTGATATTCTACTGAATATTGTGTTGTGGCTGAGTTAGTGGGTAAGAAATTGTTGAGAAATGTAATGTGGGCCATGTGCCGTGATATGTGAACATTATGTGTGTTGATATGAAATTGATGGATTTAGATTATATGTAAATGTTGTGTGATAGAATGAGTATGGCCACTTGTGCCATATATTTGAATGAATATTGTGAAAATGTGGGCCCAAGGACCGTGTAATATAAACGATAATTGTAGGCTGCGTGCCATGTATTGTGAATTGAATATAAGTTGTGTGCCGTGTGCAAGCATGAATATTACGTGCATGAATGAAATGTATGTGAATGAGGCGTGTAGCACTGTTGTAATGTGTTGTGAATGATTCAGCGATACACTGGGGGTGTGAAAGATTAGAACGGTAGAAATACCTTTGGGAGGAGAGAGTGGTGGTGACACCGACTGTGGAACGGATGCAGCCCGGGCCACACACTCTTTTTCTGACTAGACCTCTGACCATTGTCTTTGCTGAGCGACCCGTGATTGCCCACGTGGTATCCGTGAGGCGGAGGTAACCGGCGACCATTCATGGTGTAAATCTGTGATCATAGTGCCACAATAAATGTGGCTGGCGTGCATATGAATGTGTTTATAAATTGTACTTATAGATGTGAAATGCTGCTTGTGATTGTGTTTGTTTTAATGTGTTGAAAATGTTCTGGAGGTGAGACTCTACGTTGATTGTGTGTTTTTGGGTAGTGTTGTAGAATACTCACCCTTACATTCATTTTTCAGGTAATCAAGACAGTCAGCACCGGACTCAGTGAAAGGACGGATGGACTGTTATAGGCTTAGATTTTATTTTTAAATTGTTGTAATTAAACTAGTCCTGTAGCAGTTATTTGATATTAATTTGTAACCCTTCACTTATTTCAAAATCTTTTATGAAAAATTTAGTTATCCGATTTGCGAAATTATTATTTAATTGAAATTAAATTCAAGGTGTTACATTGGGCATACTAATTTCCTTTGAGTCATCCATCCAGACAACATTTCATAAGCAGAAAAATCATTTATCGTCCATATCAGTGCTGCCTTCATATTAAAATTTTGCTTCCTTGATAGGTTATAAGTTACTACACCCTCACACCATAACTTAAAATTTTGCTTCCTTGATAGGTTATAAGTTACTACACCCTCACACCATAACTCTTTCAACTCATCAATCAAAGGTTGAAGGTATACATCAATTTTAGCCTTTAGATTTTCTAGACCAGGAATTATACAAGTCAAGAACAAATATAGATTTTTCATGCTCATTTTGGGAGGAAGATTAAAAGGTGTAATCACAATAAGCCAACAAGAATATGGTTTATTAAATTGATTGTTTGAAGTGAACCCATCAGCACATAATCCTAACCTTACATTTCTAGGATCATATGCAAACTCAGGATACACTTGATCAAAATATTGTCAAGCCTCAACATGAGATGTATGAGTCATTATCCTATCACTCCTTTTATTTTCAGCATGTCACGCATGTAAGAAGCTGAACTTATAGATTCATACAACCTTTTTAGCCTAGGAATTAAAGGCAAATAATGCATTCTAGTTTGCGGTACATCTTTATATTTATCACTTCTACCACATCTTCTTGGTTTAAACCTAGGCTCTCCACAGAATTTGCAATTTGTCAAAATAAAATCATCTTTGTAATACAGCATGCAGTCTTTCAAACAATAATCAATTTTGACTTCTTTTAATCCAAGTTTGGAAACTAATTCTTTTGCTTGGTAAAAGTCTTTTAGGATTGAGTCAGGTTGGGGACTAAACTCACTAATTAATATAGCTCATTGATCAAATAAACTCTGACTTTGATTGCCTTTTGACTTTATGCTTAACATTCTTACTGCTAAAGATAACTCTGAATGCGCACACTCATCCTATAAAGGCTTATTTGTTGCCTCTAAAACATTAAAAAACTTTGCAGCCTCTCTATTAAGTTCTTGTTCAACTTTAAAATCACAAAAAACTCCAAATTCAAGACTAACATCATAAACCATTTCTTGATAATGACTATTGCTTTCTTCTCAACTTACATTACCTACATCCTCACCTGATTGCAATATATTTGAATTGCCTACTTGATTTGTCACATTAACTACTTCCCCATGCTCAGTCCATATCTAATAATCATGTTTAAATTCAAACTTATACAAATCATACCTAATTGAATCAATATTCAAAAACTTTCTACACTTGCACTTAGAACATGGACATTTAACTTTTTGGTTGGTGATGAATTGCTGCGAATTACAACAAGCACGTATGAATTCCTTTACACCCTCAAAGAATTTTAGGTTTTATTCTCTCCCAACTTGGGTGCACCTATCATACATCTACTGACGATTTCTAAAAAACATCTGAATCAAGAACTATATAAACCTAATAAAAATACACAATGTTGTATCAACCTTCTATTATACATTACACAAATTTTTAATATAAATTTTGGCATAATCTCCCCTAATACATGTTAATTTCCTTACGTTTGTTTACCACTTTTTTACAAAAATCAAAATTTTTACCACACATAACTAATATATTATATGACAATATATATTAATCAATGCATAAAACACAAACACATCACAATCCTAAACCGTTCAAAAGCACATCCCTTTGTAACTCCACAACATGCATATTCTACAAACTCCACAAACATAAACAATCTCACAATATACAATAATCAGGTTCGGAGAAAGACCTCTACGCCCCTCCCCCAATCATACAATCTTCAATCCTATAACTCTATCTTAGAAATTTTAAATCTCTAAAATACATCAAAAATAAAAATAAAAACTAAACCGATAAAAAGTTAGAGTATCGTACCAGGAACACAATGATGCAAATTATCTTTCAAATGAATGCTTTTATCACTCGCAAAGGCAAAAAAACTGAAGCTCTTAGAGAGAGGCAGAGAGAGAGAGGCGAGAAAGGAAATTATGCAAAATGAGAAAGAAGGAGGAGGCGCGGTTTTATGTGTTTCTCACATTACAGATAAAAAAATCCATTTGTAAATGGATTTATCCATCTATAAATTTGTCAAATACAGTTACAAACAAAAAAATCTGTCTGTAAATTGTCAAATGAAAAGTCGGTAAAAATGGTAATATTTACAGACAGATTTTCTCATCTGTAACTCCTACTCCAAAATTTCTTTCCATTTTCAAATTACAGACAGAAAATTTCATTTGTAATTCCTCTCTATAATACTTCGCATCAAATGGCGGGTCAACTACATACGACTATTACATATGGAACAAACATATTTTTTAGAAAATTTAAAAATAATAAAAAACCAAAAATTTGTCTGTATTACAGATGGATTTGACTGTCTGTAAATAGTATTTTTCTAGTAGTGTTTGGTGTCAATTTATGTTTACGTGAAAATTTGCACGAGACTTAACTAAGCATGTGTGGAATCCAATGTGAAAAAAAGAAATAGAGGGGAGTTGTAATGATATGATTTGCAGCAGCATACTCTTCAATAACAGTATGTTAAATGTTAGTAAAATGTTTGATTCTATTAAGTATCGTACTTAAAAATGGCTTGCAACTAGGCCTTTAGGAAGATTAATTGTATTTGTGAATTAGATTAATAATCTCTTAATATGTATTGTTAATTTCCTTTAGAGTTGTAATAGGTTAGAGTACTCTTTATACTCTAAATTTATTCTTAATAAAATATGGATGTTTAGAGAAAAAAAATTCATTTATTGCAATGTATTAAAAAATTTTAAATTTTTATAATTTAATTTATTATAAAATTATTTTATCTGTAAAAAAAAATTTTGTGTTACTATTATGTGCATTAAAATAAAAATTAAATTGTAATTAGATAAATAATTTTTTTTACGTATGAATTAAAATATTTTATATGATAATAGATTATATATTTTACTCCTTAAAGTTATGATTTACGAAAGAAAAAAAAATCATAGTAGAGACGTGTATAAATTTATATAAAAAATAATTTATTATAAAAAATTATGAATGATAAGAACAATAATATAGAACCATATAATACTTAATTAAATTCGCAATAATGTTATTTAACTTATATAATTAAAATATTAATATGTTTCTTCATAATAATTTATTTTAATATGACATTATGTTTTAATATGATATTAAAATATGAACAGAGATCAAATTATATAAATATAATTTACATTCACTTTTATACATTAAATAATTTAATATGAAAAATATTTTTTTATTAATTTAATCTTGAATTATAATTATATATTATTCAGATTATTTGTCTCAACTTTTATTAAAATTAAATATTTATAAGATTTGTTATAAAAATTTTATTTTTATATATTTAAAAATATATATTACATTAAATTTAATATATATAAATAAAGTATCACGTAATTTTAAATTAATCTTAAATTTTAAGATACACGTGGATATAATTTTTAATATAACAATTGGATTTATAATTAAATTATTCAATAAAAGTTTATTTTTTTATAAAATTTGATAATTATAAATTAATTATAATTTAAATTTATACCAGGTTATTTTAATATAAATAAATTAAATAAACGATGTTTTGTGATAAATTTTATATATAAATATACCGATATAGATATTATTTTAAAATTTAAAACAGAGGAAAAACAGATAATATTGCGATAAGAATCTGGATTATTTCAAATCTCAAACCCTAACGTCTATTAGGGTCATTAACCATTGGCTCTTTATATATCAGTGCTCCTTTTTCAAATTTCATTGAACCTCTCGTTGTTTCAGAAACTCCATGGATGGATGCCATTGTAGTGCATACCCACTAATCTCTGCCTCCGACTCCGATTCAGAAATCAATCCAGTCAACAGCGATAATCCATACTTCAATATAAAGTTTGAGTACACGAATACGTCCGTTTTGAATGCTAGAAGCTCCCACGTCAATGGTGATACTACCTATCACAAATTTTCAAATATCTCAAAGGATGAATTGATGCAGGAAACAACCATTGTTTCTTGGCTTTCCCAAATGTGTGTGCCATGTTTTGCTCACAAGTTTGTAGTGGAAAATATATTGAAATGTGCACGTTGGATGGCTAGTAGCACCTGGAATAAGTGCACAAAGGTTCTGTATATGTGTGTCGATGTGGTAATCACTAGGCCCAACGAAGAAGTGGAAGATCGTCGTGAAGAAGAAGTGGAAGACGACGACGAAGACGAAGACGAAGACGACGACGACGACGACGATGATCGATTGGTGCCAGCAGCTAGGTCAGTAGTTGAGGGGTTGGAGGTTGAAAAAGATGGGTCTGCTGCGAGAACGTGTGCTATTTGTTTTGAAGATTTTCTCGATGGTGTTCGCATGCCATGTCTGCACATGTTTCATAAAACGTGCATCGTCGATTGGTTGCAAGTAGGCCATTCATGTCCTGTGTGTCGTTTCAAGATGGCCACGGATGAAAACAAGTGAAGAAACCCATTTTTGAAATATTTAGATACCTTTTGGTAAGATGATCCAATTACCAATTAGTTTATATTTGCTTATCCTTTTTTATTTAACTTAGGTTTTTGGTTCTATAGATATACACAAGATTGTATTTTGGGACGTTTGAAGATTTTATTGAAAATAGCGCTCTCCCTCTCTCTCTCTTAAATTTTTAGTTTTTCCTTTATCGTCAACATTAGTTTTTAGTTTATTTTAATAACTTTTTATGGTTAAATTTACGTCGTAAGTTTTTATATATAAATAAAAAATTATTTAATAAGAAAAAAAATTAAAATAATGGAAAATAATAACACCCAAGAACTATTCGAGCTTCACCTCACGTTCGACAAGCCAAATCTAAATGGTATTAGATGTATTTATGTATTAAAGATTTTTTTAATTTAATATTACGTATTAAAACTGTCTCAAAAAAATATTTAAATTAAAATAACAAAATAATATTGAAGGCACATGTAGCTTTTGAAGATGGGTTCCGAAGCATTTTTCAAATAATGCTTAACTAGTGATAGGGATGAAGTGGAAGATTTGTGATTTATCCATGTTTTTCGGTTTATAATTCACGACTCACATAATCCTTATATCCTTCATTAACTCCTGAAACTTAGCTGTGAATCCCAGCCACTGGCTCTCGCAAAAGCTTTGGTGACAATTGTTCATTAACAAAACAAAACTAAGAAGCAAAAATGATGATGGTGTCCTTGGTGGTCAAGGCTTCAAAGAAGAAGTAAAACAATATAATCAAAAGAAAAAGCAAGATATCTAAACACTAATTTTTTGGCTTGTCAATATGGCTTTTGGGTTGCCAAAGGAAGCGATGGAGGCTCTCGAGCCAACTATATGTGGCGACAAGTTAGGTGTCCTCATTATGGAAGTAGCTAAAAACTTTGCTCTGTTCATAGGGATGGTGATTGCATGCAATGTTTTACATTTTCTACTGAGGCCTTTTTCGCAACCTCGCATTACTTCAGATATAATTGTAAGCTTCTCTCTATTTTCACTTTGATAAAAGGTCTACATTTGATGTTATTGCAAATTAACCAGCTGAAACTCTAGTTTTAGTTTAAAAAATTAAAAAACAATCACTAAACAATGTACCTAAGAAACTGAACTTCAGTTCAGTCCTTTAAAGGTGTTTTACGATGTTATTTTTAATTTATGCAGGTAGGACTAATCATGGGCAACATAAAATTTGTGCGTAAATTGTTTGAGAGATTCAACAGAACGTTTGGATTTATCATTGATTTTGGTATGATTTGTTACATGTTTGCATTGGGGATAGAAATGGATCCTTATGTAATATTTGAAAGACCACATAGGCATACTAAAGTTGCTTTTGCTGGGGTTATATGTACGTTCATCGTGGCAGGTATTTTAACACCAATGTTTGAATACTTCCCAAGTGAACATAAACTACTAGGTTTCACCATTTGCCTCTCTACTATGCTTTCTAGCACAGACTCACCTGTTCTTACCCGTTTAATAACTCAGATGAAAATAGGCAAATCTGATATTGGGAAGCTAGTAATTGCAGCAGGGGTGCACTCAGATTTTCTGTGCTACTTGTTCCTTACAATTGGCTACATAGTCTTGCCATTGCCTCAATTTTGTCAAAACTTGCAAGGGAAGATTGTCTTAAAGAAAATACTTATAACTACATTTATAATTGCAGGGGAAGTACTTGTCACTGCCTTGGTTTCACCATTCATTTTGAATTGGGTTAACAATGAAAACCCTGAAGGTAGACCCATGAAAGGTCAACACTTGGTGCTCTCAATTGCCTTCATGGTCTTAATGTGTGCCTCCTCCACTTTGTATAATTATAGCCCAATTTTAAGTGCTTTTTTAGTGGGCCTTTATATTCCCCGGGAGGGTAGACTTTCCAAATGGGTTATAACTAAAATCAACTATATGTTGTCCACCATTTTCTTTCCCATCTTTTTCTTGTGGATGGGGTATGAAGCCAATTTTAAACGGTTTGAGGTGCATGATTTTGACACATGGGTAAGGTTACTTATACTCTTGGCAGTGTTAATAGTTGGAAAAGTTGCTGGAACAGTTGTCTCTGGTGCAATGCTGGGCATTCACTGGCCTGAATCAGTTGCAATAGGATTGCTTCTCATGACTAAAGGCCATTTACATATCTACTTAGCTGTCAAAGTGGTGAGTGAATCTTTATGCTTAACATTTCTTTCTTTGATTAAGTCAGACAAATTAAGTTTCTCCAGGCCTAAATCTAAGTTTAACTGTAAGCCTTTTGAAACTGATAAAAGTAATTTACTGAAATTATTATAATTTTATTTAAAATTTATCTTTCAAATTTTTTAATATACAAAATTACTTATCAAATTATCATAATCAATTTTGGTTAAAATTTTAATCATAGGTAGTAAGGTGCAACCTTTTAATCCAATAGCAAGAAAGACAAAAAAAAAAAAAATGCAACCATAAATAACATGAAGAGAAAAAAGAATAACGTTAGAGGTTTGATAATTCAAACAGTTGTTGTCGTTATACTTATGTTTGCCACTTTGGGTCTATAGCACCATTCTGGACTAACGTGATAAAAGATGATGAAATTTGCGTGGAGTGATTTGTAAATTGACGTAGTGCCATGTTTCTTCTAACTATGAGAAAGGCATGGACCACCATTTCTATGTGGTGTAATAATTTTAAATAACGGGTTATATTCCTTTGACAATTAATGATACAAAATGCTGTAGATGAGTCTTCCTTGTTATGCCTCTGAAAATTCATGTCATTCATTTGAAAATACAGGATCAGAACATTATGCAGCTAATGCCAGAAGGCAGAAGTTAACAGTAGAAAAATATATATATTAACTTCGAATCTATATCACTTTAGAATACAGCAGATAGAGACAACTATGTAGTAGCTAGCTACATCTTTAATTTATTTATTTTTCAGAATTATTATAACACAAAATACCTGAAATAATGTGTGCCATTGGGTTACTTCAATTCAATCTCTTAGGCTCATATCTTGTTCTTCTACTAATTACCAGATAGGTTGTGGTGGTACAAGTCTTTCCACTGGCATTGTGATGATAATCGTAATCTTCTTAACAGTAGTGCCTACTCCAACAGTTGTGACACACATCATAAGACGTGCTAAGAGAAGGGCACCTACTCATCGTTTGGCTCTTCAATTGCTTGATCCCACAAGTGAGTTAAGGATCCTTTTGTGTGTTCATGGACCTCAAAATGTACCTGCTTCCATCAACTTGGTGGAGATTACAAAAGGCATAGCTGACTCGGGCATTTTGGTGTATGTAACTGACATGATTGAGCTTACTCAAGAAATATCCGCCACATTAGAGAGGGATGAAGGGATGCAAACAGCAACTGTGAAGGACAAAGAAGTCATGGATATGAGAGACCAAGTTACTAACTCATTCCAAGCCTATGTGGTCGAGAATGGTGATGGTATTACACTCAAAAGAACCATGGTACTCTCAACAATCAATGACATGCCACAAGATATATGTGTCATAGCAGAGGACTTGATGATTGCCCTCATCATACTACCATTCCATAGGAGCCAGCGTCAAGACGGAACTTTGGATGGTGGTAATCCAGGGTTCAGATACGTCAACAGAAAGGTAATTATACAGAACTAGAACCTCAATTCATCTTTGATACTATCAAGAAAATTTAGTAGGCCAAAGACGAAGAAGAAATACAAATATCTTATCTCTACTTCTAGCATACTACACTTTGTGAGAAACTCTGCTATGAACTGGAACCTCAACATGACAGTTCCAAGTACTTTTGGTCTATTAGTACTCACTAGCTACACAAGCATGAACTATTTTAAGTGGACTTTAATAAATGTATTGTTCGACAGGTATTGAGAAGTGCTCCTTGTTCTGTGGGGATCCTAGTAGACAGAGGACTTGGATCATTTGAACAGCTATCAAGATGTCAAGTGCCACTAAATGTGGCAGTCATATTCATTGGAGGAAAAGATGATAGGGAAGCACTTGCCTATGCTGGTCGTGTGTCACGGCATCCGGGAGTTAAGCTCACAGTAATAAGATTCCTAGTAGATAACAGTGCAGAATCCTCTAGATTAGTTGGATACAGGATCATCCTTCCAGAGCAGGAGAAGGAGATGCAGTTGGATGATGAATGCTTTGCACAGTTCTATGAAAGGCATGTGATTGGAGGCCGGATTTCTTATCAAGAGAAGCATCTTGCAAATGCTGCTGAGACCTTTTCCACTCTCAGATCATTTGAAGGACATTACTCACTTGTCATTGTTGGAAGAGAAGGAGGAGTCAATTCTATTTTGACAAGGGGCATGAATGATTGGGAACAATGCCCAGAATTAGGACCAATAGGGGATGTTCTTTCAGGACCAGACTTCTCAATGACTGTTTCTGTTTTGATTATCCAACAACATAGAATTAAAGGAGAAATAGATGGGTTGGATGAAGACTTCTCTGTCATATAAATGTTAATAGATTATAGGTATGCTTAGTGTAGAAGTAGATAGTAACTGTAGCAAGGAATCAGGTAATTGCTAGAATCAGTTAGTCAGAATTGAATAGACAAAATCATCTTGTTTATGCTCCATTTAGTATTAGGAATGTGCCATCTTGATGTTTAGTGAGGGGCATGAGCATCTTGAATGTACATCAATAGTTCTTCAAAGCTTCACTATCTCTGTCTTCAATTAGAGTATTACAATATCCTAATCCTTCTATTGTTCTATAAACGGTTTTTTTTAAGGCAAATCAAAGATTACATAGTAAGAATTTGTACATAGTACAGGATATTACAAAATTGAATGCATTGATATATAAATTTTTATCATGTGTGTCACTGGACACAAAAGACATTGACTAAGAAATAATAATAATATTTTACTGAAAATCTCGTGATGCATCAACAATAATGAAAGTGAGTGTATTAAATGTTTTTCAATGAAATATTTATACTTTAAATTTCTTAACCAGAAGTATAGGAGCACTTGCTAATGTTTTGTTTTATAAAATAAGGATTAATATAAAAATACATGTATTTGTTTCTTAAAAATAAAAATGTATTTAATATTTTTTTATTTAATAATCAAGGAGATTTATAAGAATGAAAGGTAGAAAGATTTAGGACTATTCTTGTAATTCATACTCTCGATCTCAGCAAAGTGTAAATATTAACAAACAAACAGCATCTACCGCTCTCCAACTTGATTTATGCAAGCAAAAATACAGTTATCTCATCATATCGTTCGTATTAACGCTTAAAAAACTGTTCTTTCGTAAAATAGGAAACTGTTAATACCGGATAGTATCATGTATGTTTTATCTTTTGAGGTTGATAGATTAGAGTACAGTAACCATAGTTGTTGAAACAACTCAACTGAAGATCTTCAGGTTCTAATAAACTTCAGTCTTTTGTGCTTTTATAGTTTTATTTATTTATTTATTCGTTGTCTTTCAGGTATAGAGTTCCGTCTCTGAGTGAGTATTATTATTAAGGTTCCCCCCTGATAATAATATTATGGGTCAAATAGCATTTTCAACTAACGTGTTAATCAAATGCAAAATCGACTTTTTTTTATAGGCAATTGATTTGTCAGAATGAAAAGTAAAGATATGATGATAAAGTTAAAAGTTATCAATGAGTCTCTCTGAATCACATAGAGGCGCTTTTTGCTGCAACTGACTTTGGACCTTAATGCTGTTTGCTACTAATTAAAATTATAGTTTTAGACGTATTCGGCCAAGCTGCAGTATACATTAAAAGCATTCTAATTCGCCTTCTGAAATTCAGTTTCCTTTAGAAGAGGTAAGCTAATACGTTGTCATAAGCTAAATTGCCTCCCATTTTGTTTCCTCTATTTCATTGTTCTTTGTGCAACTTGATACATATGCCTTGCTGTTGATATTTGTCACCCCAGTGAGTGGCTTATAACAATTGAAGTTGCCCCTTTTTATTTTTTGATTTAGCGTGTGTAGTTTTGTATTTCTCATGTGCATGCATGAGATGGACTTTTCTAATATTGTTAGAAAGAAAGGAATAAAAGAAAGAATAGGAGAAAAAACTGGTTTGAGATCTTATAATTATGAAACAAGAGATATACAAGTCTCTTTTATGATTCATGTTGTGTGACCAAATAATGCCAAAATTGATGTATATCTACTCTTTTTGTATCAAATTAAAAGTGATGGACAAAGAGTGGAAAAAACTACCAAGGTATAGTAAATAGTATATGGATGGTGTTGAGTCATTCTTAGAAAGCAAGAAAATCCTATAATTTGGTTAAGAAGGCAAAATTCTACAATTTGCAGGAGTATCTCAATTCTATTTTGAAACAATATTCTTATGACATCAAAAAGATTAGAAATTCTAGTAAAAATCGTGCTAGAGCAAAACAACCCAGAACTGGATAGAGGCTTTAGATAATATAATGGCAACTGCGTTGGAAAATGAAGGCAATGCAGCATCACCACGTTCAACTATATCATCCAATGTTTCTAACTATGAAAAGGTATAACTTTATTTGCCAAATCTTCATTTAGCAATTATTATGCGTATTCATAATTGAAGTTGTGACCCTAAGAAGAGTATGGCTTTGATGAGGAGTCATTGTATATCTTATTTAGGATTTTCGTGGTTTAATACCCGGTTTTGACACCTTGAATTTTGAAGCTATATTTAATTTAAGTGTATTGGGTGAATTGGAAATTTGCACCTCAACTATCTCATTTTTGTTTGAATTTAATATTAAACTATTCATATACAAAAACAAAAATTTTAGCCACAAAATTTGTACAATTTTATAGTCTTATATGTTCTGTTCTTATAGCAACATGTATCTAATGTTAAGCATGTTATATTTCTTCTCGTTATAATATGCGAAACCCTACTTTGAATTGTTACCTAGTTATTCTTGCCTTTGGGATCAAATTGGTTACTGGGCAACCCACCAAACTCGTTTTATAGTTTTCATGCTTTGGTATATAATCTTTTTGGGTCTAATTATTGTTATCCGTTCATGTTTATCTTATAGTGAATATAAATTAATCATATTTTGTATTGTGGATTATAACTTTTTTTGGATTTAATCATAATTGTTCATTTTATTGTCTAGTAATTATTTGGTCACTTAGAATTTTGGAAGGTCAATCCCCTTTTACATACATTATAATATCTAGTAATTATTTGCTGATTCTGACTCATAATATACATGTTTATGTATTCATGGGTTATGTTGTCAACATAAAATACTAGTAACTCTGGATGAGCATAAATAATATATTCCTCAAACCATACATTCGCGCTAACTCATCAAGTTAAATGAAGTTCGAAATGAAATTTAAAAGAATCCGCGAGACGCAGATCACGTTTCTACAAAGCATCCGCAACCCATCAAGTTTCATTTCTAAATTTCAAGGACTAAGAGGCCTAGTCTTCATCTTCCTCAAAATCAGAAAATTCTGAAGCATTGCCATCAGAATCATTGTCACTTTCAGAGTCACTCAACACATATCTTGTTTGCCTACGATTGGCCCTCAGAGGCCTAGCTCTTGCTGCTGGTGGTGGTGCAATCTCAACCACATCCTCGGTGCTAGGAGAAGAGTTAGAAGCAGAACCAGACAAGTCTTCACTCACATTTTCTTCTCTGTCAGCAGTAGCAACCCTTCCCAGCACAGAACTACTTTTCTTGTTAAATGGAGATGCCCTCATCTTCCTCACCTTCTTCTCTGGTGATATCCCTGTAGGTTCCAACATATCAGTAAGGAGTTTTTGACCCAATGTCTTAGATTGCTTTCCACCTACGTTTCTCTTCCTGGTAGCTGCAGGTGCCTTCTTAGCATTTTGAGCAGCAGGCTTTCTCCCTGGCTTCTTTTTCCCTGCTTCTGTTGCAACCGGTTGCTGTATTTCAAAGTCATCGTCGTCGTCATCGCCTTCATGAACTACTTCATTATCACTATCAGACACATCCAACACTACGGTACTTGAGGCCTTCTTTCTCGGAGCACCCCTTCTTTTTGGCACATCTTTCTTCCCAGCAGCAGGTACAGGTGGCTCTTCAGCTTCCATGGCTGTGTAAATAAATACCAAGTATTGGCATCATGCCATATGGAATTAATTGGTATTCAACTATTGTTGCCCAAAAAAATTTACCTGCAGATTGATCACTACTAGATGATGCTCCAAAGTTATATGCAGCTAAGCGTTCTTGAAGAGATAGAATTTCATCATCAGAATCCTGTTAATAGGTATATGACACGTGTTAGTGCTCCACAAAACTTGCTACATTTATTATTATACAGGGATCGGCATTACCTTCTGAGTTTTCTGAGAACCTGCTGTGCCTTTTGGCTTAGTGACTTCCGCAACATTCTCTGATGATGCAAGTAGAAAAATTTTAAACATTCGAAAGCGGACATACACAAAAATAATAGTTATGAATCATATCGTAGTAATTTGCAATACTGACATACTTAAGACTTACCGACTTCCATGGAAGAATTATCGTGCTCTGGCTCAACGTTTTTGGCCTTCTTAGTGTTCTTCCGGGGTTGTGGCGGCTTCTTAGCTGCTCTAGTAAAAGCTTCTGAAGCACCACGATTTGATGTCTTTTTATTCGCTTGACTTGATCTTTTTCGTTCCTCCTCTGCCTCTTTATTATCTTGTTCCTGAAATGTGGAAAAAAGAAATTTCATTAACAATAAGCGTAAGATAAATCATTATTATAATATAACTGAAGATTTTGAAATTAGGTAATTCACTCTTACATCAAGTTTCTTCTCAAGCTCATCTAGATCCTTCAACCACATGGACTTCGATGGGGTTGCCTTCAAAATCTCGAACTCCTTTTCCTTTTCATCCTTTTCAGCTAATAGCTTCTGAACACTTTCGAGGGTCAAAGTTCCAATAGGCATGGATAATAGATATTCATAGTCACCTCGTTTTGCTACTTCGGCACCACCAGTTTCCTGCTCCTTCGTGTTGTTTTCATCTTCCTGCTCCTCTTCCTCATTTGCCCCAGCAACTTGCGGCTCTGCAGATTTAGTTTTCCTCCGCATGGGAGTGAAACCTTTCTGCTGCAGCTCCATGAACAAATCAGCCTTTTTCCGGTTGCTCACAACAATTTCTCCATTCACAACCCCTAATATAAACCTTACTTTGTTGGACAACACCAACAAAAGTCGTTCAAGATTGCCCAGTATATGTGTCTGCAAGCATACCCAAAATACATTTCAGTTCTCACTAGTAGTAGGTTTAGAATATGAAGTGACCTATTGCCCATCACCAACAAAACAACCCACCTTTCTTCTCTCGTAATACTCCAGCCGAAGTGGGAAGAACTCTTCGAGAACTGCAAAAAAAATAACGTAAAACATTATGTGTGTAAAACATTTTATGATATTATTCAAAACAACTTCACATGATAAAAGGTTATACTTTGTTCCGGATTGTCATATTTCCTTATTTTCCCTTCTGCATCAAATAGATGCATGTTGCTTGTGCTGATAGTGCTTGTCAATTTAAATTTCTTAAGCAGTCCATCTTGCATGATGCCCACTATTTTGTCCAGCTTCAACCTGATTTCTATGTCCACAACTGCATCATCACCATTCTGTCTGAAATCCTGCAGAAAGAAAATTTCCATGTGAAAAATTGACACAGGTTAATTCAGTGTGAATATGATGGCGAAATGTTCACGTCACGTTACCTCAATCAAAGGATCCTTGACATTAGGCGTCCCGTCAGTAATAGATTCAAGAAACTGCTTGTAATCTTGAGTCCATTTACGTATAGGCAGCTCAGTGATTCTGAAAGTTTGTTCATTTATTTCCTCTACGGTACCATTGACTATGTATCCACCTTCCTTGGCGCTTTTCTCAATGGTTCCTTTGAATCCCCTGTACCATGGATCCATTGGCACCATTGTCTCCCCATTCAACAAACGCCTAACATTGGCAATAATTTCCCTTGGATTATAATTCGGAATGTAAGAACTCCAGCCGGTCCCAATTCCCTCACTACCATTGACAAGAACCAAAGGTATAACTGGTATGTACCTGTGAGGCCGGACAACGGGAATTTGTGTAAGTTCCTTACTTCTTACAAGTCATAGACAACAGAATTTTGAAAAACAGGAGTAAACAAACTACCAGTTGGGTTCAATTGACTTCCCATCCTCGTTCAAGTACTCAAGAAGATTGTCATCCTGCTCGTGGAAGATGCAGCGAGTAATATTATTTAGTTCAGTGTAGATGTATCTAGCACTTGCATGATCTTTACCTCCCTGAAAGAGCGAATTACACGGTAAACACAAATCTCACAGTAGAAGCGAAATGAATAATATTGTAACAAAGGTAAGGTTTTGAATCAAATGTCATATACAGATTCAGCTCACCAAGTTACGAGTACCAAATTGACCGTTTGGTTTAAGAAGATTGATATTGTTACTACCCACAAAATCCTGTGCCATCCCAATAATTGTGCTAGCCAGACTTTGCTCACCATGGTGGTAAGCAGAGTGCTCAGACACATAACCAATGAACTGACCCACTTTTATTTCTTTGAACAACTTTTTCCTAAATGAGCAGAAAAGTATCTTCCTTTGACCAGGCTTAAGTCCATCAACCATAGAGGGAATGGACCTTTGAAGATCCGCCCTGGAGAACAATATAAGCTCTTTGTTGACAAAATCCCTGTAGTTTATGTATCTGTCCATATGATCACGACATGTGCCAGGCTGCAAAAGAACAGGGATCAGATTTGTATTAGAAGTTACTCCCCTAGAATTAGAATAACCAATAAAATGCACAATTCTCATTCGTAATACTTCATACCTCAAAGTTACGAATCCAGGTCTTCCTATCTTCGGCTTTTTTCTTACTGAATGCCAGCTCAATTGCACTTCCATCTTGGTCATCTTCCCAAACGAAGTCTTTCTTATGTTTATTAAGATCTCTAAAGTATTCCCTCCCTTCTTGAGGAGTACTTGTACCCAAACCCTGTACAAAGAGCACAAGCAGAATAAGCACATTAAAATTGAAAGCAGAACGATGAATTCTAAACCTAATGTTGAGGTTCTCCATGCTTACAACAACAAACCTTATAGTACTTTATCTTCCAACCAGTTGCATTATTCCCCAAGCTTTCTCTCCATGATTGATACTCGGGCATGGAATAAAATGAAAACTTTGTCCCGTTTGAATGAAAAGCCTGCAGAGAAAGGGAAAAACCATATCCAATAAAAGAAAGTTCTACAAAATAGGATGTAGATTCAATTCTTTCTTTATCAATAACAACAAACCATACTAACCCTTATTATTGGAGTGGTAAATTCAACCATAAAAGATGGAACTTTTAGCAGTGATGGCCAGAAGGAATGAATGAAGTTGATCAATAGCCCTTTGATGTGGGAACCATCGTAATCCTGGATCACACAATAGTTGAGTCATTATATCTCCGTGGAAACAAAGATGAAGTGAAGACAAAATTCAGAACAAGAACACTATCATATGATATCCAGGTAAACCCACCTGATCAGCCATAATCATCAAATGGCCATATCTCAAAGACTTTACGCTTGTGTACTCTTTGTTTTGCTGAAGTCCTAGAATCTTCTTTATATTTTGAATTTCTTCATTCTCCATTATCTGTTTACTGCTGGCTTCCCGTACATTTAGCAATTTGCCTCTCAAGGGAAACACACCATAATGGTCTCGACCCACAACAGAGAGCCCAGCCATCTTCATATAGAACAAACAATGTCACAAATCTAAAATATAACTTTGTCCGAGATTGAAAATATATTTCGTTACATACAGTTGAAGAGGTAAAAAACTAGCCATGGGTAAAGATGACTTGGCTAAACTTAACTATATGCTGACTTTAAATTTGTACAGTATATGGGGTAGCCAACTAGTCATGAGTATAGAGATGGAACTTAATTCCATGTTCACGTAGCAATCTTCATGCTATTATCATAAAAAATAAAAGAAAATTTGATTGAAGCTCTTTCAAAGTAGAAATTCTGTATAAATCCTGAGCATTTGGATTGACTTTCATGAATGATTTGCTTTTAATTATTCAGTTGTATTTAAGATCATTTAGGTTTGTGACAACAATGTAACTTACAATCTTTGTGCTATTTTATCTTTAAACTGACTTTAAATCTGTCAGCAAGGTAAATTTTCTAAATTTTCAATTCGTGTGGATGACAACTTACAGCAAGGGCCTTTGCAGAATCCCCCTCTGTCAATATCAAGGTACACTTCTCAGAGTTCCTTCCACCAGCATCGTTGGCATCTTCTAGCTTTACAATCCCACGAATTCTCTGGGTCTTTGTTCCATCAGTTTTCTTCAGATCTTTGCTCTGCTTAAAATCAGCCCATGACATGAGGGTATCCACTATTCCAGAGTTTGCAACTGCAAAATTTGCAACATGTAAGCATAAAACAGTTTCGTGTTCATTGATTATATTATTGTAAACAATCGACGACGTCGCACCACCAACCTTCCTTCAGCATCGACTCTGGAATATCACATTTGGAACCAAAACTAGCCTGCCTAGTCGTGAGAGTTTCCTTAGTTTGAGAATCAAATGCAGGGTTGTCAATAAGAGCATTGACGAAGACCCACAAATGATTCTTCACATTGTGAGCTTTGACATTGGCATCCTTTTTCTTCTTATTTACTTTACCCATCACAAAGCTTGTAATCTGATTGGTGATGTAATCAACATGAGTCCCACCCTTGATTGTAGCAATGGAATTAACAAAGCTGACCTGGTAAAAAGAAATTAAGGGTGTGTAAGATAAAAAGTAACAACAATAAGCATCCTATTAGTTACTTTGCTTCTCACTAGTTACCTGCTGAAACTGTCCATCACTTAAACTCACGCAAATCTCCCACCTATCACCTACTTTTGCATGAATCCTATCAACAACAACAAAACCAGGTTGTCATAGCAATAATTGAAAGTTAAAACAATGCTCCACAAACTACATTTCATAGGAAACAAACCTTGGAAGTGGCATTGGTTTGGATTTCTCAGCTGATTTCAGGTATAGATCAGCATAATCACGGAACGATTTCATACGAATCAAGCTCCCATTAAGTTCAACCTTAACAGTCTTTCCAAGGCACCCTGCCATGTCCACCACACGCTTTTTCATCAGAGCAACGACATCTTCTTCAAGATAAGTCATCTTGAACTTTTCCAAGTCAGGCTTGAAGGTCACCTTGGTCCAGTTTTCACCTTGTTTGCATTTTGTTATCATCGGTTCAGACTTTTTCCCCATGTTGTTCGAGAACACCTTCAACCACAAAAATTACACTAATCAGCTTCAGAAACTGCCTATAATGGAATTACCTGCTCATTCCCAAAATCTAAAGCACAGAAAATTAATCAAACTAAAAATCCTGAAACAGGATCATCAAATATGTCCACAGCTACTCAATAAATACAATCCTCGCGAGTAGCGATTGAAAAATCAACCAATGAAAGCAAAACCAACAGCAAAATTAGCACAATAGCCGACACAAATCGAGCACAACCACCACAAAAAAAGACTCAAAAACCCAAATCGCGCGAAGATCAGACCCAAAAAGCTAAATATTCTACGAAAAGAAACACCATCCCAAATTGACAAATCCACTCCATTTCTAAAGAAAAAAAAAACCCTAGAAAATTGACAAAAATAACATGTAACCACACAAACCCCAACAAAGAAGCAAAACTGAACAAAGATTTTGAAATAATACCTGTTTATACTTCTTCTGGCGCTTTCCATCGGCAGTTTCAATGACAAACTCAGTGGAGAAAATATTAGTGAGCTTTGCGCCGTAACCGTTACGGCCACCGGTGGTCTTCTTGACGTTATCATCGTAGTTACTGCTAGTGAGCAAGTGACCAAAGATGAGTTCAGGGACGTAAACCTTCTCCTCCTGGTGGATCTCGACGGGGACGCCATCACCGTTATTGAACACGCTAACGGTGTTCTGTTCGGCGTCAATGAGGACTTTGAGAGAGTCCATGGAGGGGTCACGCTGCTTGTTGTCGGCAGCGTTGACGAGAATCTCGTCGAAGATTTTGTAGAGTCCAGGGACGTAGGTTATGGGGCGGTGAACCATTTCATCGTTTTCGTAGACCCAAAGGGTCTGCGTGTGTTTCTCGATGGATCCGACGTATGTGTCGGGTCGGAGAAGGATGTGTTCGAGCTGCGTCTTCTTCTGGTACATTTCCTCGATGGTTTTCTTCCCTGCTGCGGCGACATTGGCGGCGCTGCTGCTCTGCAAGGGGAGCATGGTTTGGGGTTCCATTGGAGTGTGACACGGAGGTGGTGTCTGTTGAGAGAAGAATGTGTTTATGAGAGTGTGTTTGGGTTATGCCTTTGTTTAATTCAAGGGTGAAGGGGCTAACGGTCCACTCGAGAGTTTGAATTTGAAAATGTGTCACTTTGAGCGGGATTTTGAAATTTGATTGTTATAACTGTGGAAACAACACTTTTTTTATATATTTTTTATTTTTATTTTTTATTAATGGAGATTTTCTGCAGTAATCAATGAGAATAAATGGTGAAAATTGCAATTATACACTCTCCAGTCATTTTCTGTATAAAATAGAAATTTTGGTATATTTGGTCCGTTTCAATCATGGAAAATATTTTTTATTATTTTTTTAGAAAATATAGTACAAAGGGATGACACTTTTAATCTTATTGATTAGGGCATCACTAATAAATTTTAGAGAATGACAAAGACTCAACCAACAAGTTTTATACACAATTAAAGTTTCAAGCAGTATACATAACTTTATAAACTATCTATTACAGTTTATACCCCAAAATCAAATCCAAAATTTTTTTACTAACCCACATTTGAATTGTTTATTGTTTATTGTTTATAAAATGATACTGATTAAAAAAATATTAAGATCAACCTTTAAAATTAATTTTAAGCGTATATATAGATAATTTGTTTCAAGCAACAGATGCCTTCTTTGGCAATAATTTTTTTTAATTTTAACTGCACAAAATTAATCCTAAAAATTAGTATAACAAAATTGTTAAGAAAATAAACTAAATTTGTGCCAATTCTATTAAAATACTATTTCTTTTTCTCACGAATAAAATTATGAAATAAAAAATAAATTCCACAATCAAGTTGTTCCCAAAATAATCTACTTAAAGTTAACTTTGAAAAATAGAGAATTTTATGATTGTATAACTATATTAACAGCAATACATAATAATTAGTGAAAACAAGCTAAAATAATCAATTAAAAGAATTTCTCCAATAAAACTAGAAAAATATTATTTACCTCAATCTAGCTTTAAAAAATATATAATTTTTCATTCATTCATTTTTTGTTCTTTACTTTGGAAGTAATTTTTAATTCTCACTCATACTTTTTTTTTACTTGAATAGGAAATTAATTTCTAATGTTTGTTTCTCATCGAATTGGGACTAGAATAATTATAGGAGCTTGATTCATATTTAGAATTGCTTGTTTGATGCTTAATGATTTTTGGAATTACTTGCTTAGCTGCATAACACCTAGTTAAGCTTTGTTTGGACTAATGGGGAATTGCCTTGGAATTATTTGGATAGAAATATGATGATGATAGGACTAACATGAGTCTTAAGGTATATTTGGGAGAGGATTTTTGGATGAGGAGGGAGGAAGGGTTTATTTTTATATTTTAAATAAATATATTTAAAATTAAAAAATTTTAAAATATATATAAATTAATATAATAACAAAAATTTAATGTATTAATACTATATTTGTCATCCTAAATAATATATAATTATTTTAATATAAAATTAAAAAAATAAGTCCTTCCTTCCCCTCCAAAAATCCTCTCCCAAACATACCCTTAGAAAAAATGTGAGTGTTTTGGAATGTTTCAGACACTTTATGATGTTTGTGCTTCACTATTTTGCAGAAATTGAAATTTTAATTTTGATGTTAGAATGTTAGAAAAAAAAAATAAGTTTCAAAGAAAATACTTTATTAGTAATATTTTTAACTCTACAAGATTTTTGAAGTGATTTTAATCAAACGATAACGATAACTTTTTAATTATTTTCTAAACTTTGAAGAAAATAGCATTTTGGCATTTCACTAGGCTAGATTTAAGTTTCATTATGTTTTCGAAGTGGTTTTGATTAAAGGATAAAGTTTTCTATTTATAATTACTAACTTCCGTAGCTATATTTTTTTATTTAATTAATCCTAATAAATTTTGTGTTTAGCCAAATATCAAACTGCAATACAGAATTTTATGTATGACTCTAGGCTTTTTGTCAATGAAGTCACTGTTAAAATACAAAAATATGTAAAGAGGTATTTGTAGGATAAAATTGATGCCATAACTGTGAAGCTTATACTAAGAAAAAGACTTTGAAGAAGGTAATAAATAATTGTATAATGTTTTTGCTTTGTAATTTTGATAAAGAAAAAATTTGAAAATTTTATATTTAAATGTTGACTCAGCATTCTTATTGTAATGTAGTAAAAAAAAAAATAGAAGTTGTTTCAGAATTTTATATTTAAAAAATAGATATTAGTACATATTAATGTGAATAGGTTCAAATATTTTGATATGGTTATGCTATTAGCTCTGCTTATTGTTTGTGCCTTAGAGTTTTGTTAAAGAAAAAAAAGAAGAGAATCTACATGATAAATGTTTCAGGCTTGAATTTACAATCATAGTTTATCTAAAATAATTAATGCTAATAGAAGTATACGTCTCATATGATTGCATACTTAACCAAAGTTAATCAATTTTAAAATTCATTCATTTATTCAATTTCAGTTACCACAAAAACTGGGTGGTATAACTTCTTGATGCTATATTCATTGTTGTATTATAATTTTAAAAGTAAGCTTGACTAATGATTTTTTGACTCACTATTTTGGATATTCTAGGAAAAAAATTGCAGTGTTAAAATGTTAAGAGGTACCAAAAAAGACTTGTTAAAATATTACAATACCAAATTTTACAAATATGTAACTTTTAAAATCATATGTTATCTACATAAAGAATAAAAAAACCCTTACAATAGCATGTCAAATTTACTTGTGCTATTGCACTTCGCCCTTGCTAGTTGTCTAGAAAAAGATCTTACACATATGCATAGCATCAGAACAGAAGCGGAAAAATAATTTTATTTATTAATATTAATGAGATGCCAAAATGTGCAGTTAGACGTGTAGGCAGAAGAGTCAAAAGCGTGTATCATGTAGCGGATTATTTGAGGGAAAGTTCTTGTATCAAGTGAGCAAGTAAACACACAAGCATATGAAACTGTACTTTCAAGAATTCTAATATTGCTCTAAAATTGCACTTTCAAGTCTTAATAACAATGAAAAGTAAAGCAAGTGATGGAGAGCAATCAAGCAACAATAGATTATCTTGTATCACCATTGAAATTAGTTATATAAAAAGGTATACTCACAATCAAGGTCACCAAGGATCTCCACCACCACCAATTATTTCATGGGCAACCTTTGCCTGTTCGGCTATCAAACAAGATTAGAGCAACCCATTTTAGAAGAAGATGGAGACAAAAACATGAACTCACCAATGGCACTACAAGGTGGGATGATGGTGTGGGAGCAACGACAGTCATGCAACAACGTTGAGTGCAAATAAGTTAAGACTGAATGTTAAGGAATATCTTAGAGCCTCTTTTATTTTTAAAATAAAATAAACTTTTAGTTATATTTTTTGTCTCTTTAGTTAAGTTCACGTACAAATTTAGTTTTCTTAATTTTTTTTAGCTATTTAAGTCCTTTAAAAAATTATGCAAATTTAGTCCATCCAACTAATTCTATCCTACTTAAAATGCTTAAATTATTATTCTGTTCAACTTTTAAAGGAGTTCATGATAAATTTATTACATAAAATAGTTTTCAATGTTTCGAAGTAAAAAAAATAGTGAAATTTTGACATAATTTGAAAAAAAATTGTGATATAAATTTGGGATTTGAAGAACTATGCTAGGAAGTTACAACTTTAATTTATCAAATATGTTGAAATTAGTTGAAATAAAATATATTAAAATAAATCTCATGTTGTTTAGACTTGTAAAAGAAGAGGAAAGTCATTGTTATATATTTAAGTCTTAAATTTTTTATTTTAGAATATTGTTAGATGTTTAAATATTTACTTTAAAAAGAATAGGTGCACTAAGATTATAAAGTGATTAAGAAAAAAAATATGTATCATAAAAGATTTCACATAGTATTATCTTTTAGTTGTTATTAAACAACAATTGTAATTTTCTTTTTATAATTTCAATGTTAATTTGTGTTACAGTTATGTAATCTTATTTCTCTTTTTAAAACAGAGTCTCAAGGAGAATATACTATTTTTAATAGTTTGTATATGTAAAATTCTTGACAAAATTCAACCAACTCAGATTAATTAAATTTAATCCTGAACCTTTTCAACCTAAAATGATATAATTTCACATTACTAATTTCCTTAACCAAACATTGTTATGAAAATAAATTAAATTCGGTCTCATATTCTCTGGAGAAAAACAAAAAGGAAAATAGGAAGATTGAATAATAGTTGACAATATCTTTCAACTTCATGCAATTATACAAAAGACAGGCTCAAGTGATTAGCAAAAATCTTCATTACTACGTATTACAGCAAAGGTGGAAAGGAACTCATTTTTAGGCAACAGGGAACACTATAACTCGATCAATAACAGGGCCACAGAGAGAACCATAGTCATCAATTCTTGTATGGTAGAAGGAGCTGTAGAACGTGAGTCTAGTTCTGGGTGCAATTGCTTTGAACTTGTAGCTCACAGTCGTGAATCTGCCCTTTCCTTCTGATTTGAAGGGAACTTTAAAGGTATCTTTAGCAGCAAATGCTTCAACCATCATTGATCCATGGCATCCATTTTTGGCATCTCCAACTGAGAATGTGATGTTATAGGTTTTGTTGGTAACTGTTCTGATGATTTGAGCAATGGCACTTTCCCTGCCTGCCACAAGCTCCACTGCTCCCAGCCCAAATGGGACATTGAAATGCTTAGAATCAATGAACTTCACGGCTTTCAGGGACTCAATAATCCAACCAGGGAGTGGGGAGAACCGATCTTGCTGTTGAGGAGGGAGCAGAACACCATTTGTGGAGTTGAAAATTGGGAATGGACCTTCCTCAAAGCCAGGGTTTTTCACCAAATTAACTGCAACATACCATATAACGGTTTTATCAGAAGATGAACTCTTAATGCTAAGTGAAATCATAGACATATCCCATATTGAATAAAATAATGATATTTTCACACCCCAT